GGAAAGAGACTCATGGGGTGAGATAAGAACAATTTAAGAACTGAACTACAATAATGTTGAAAATAATAATAATTGTAATAATATATACAAATATGTGAGTGATGCTCAGTGACACTGCTCACCACCTGATGACCAAGGCTCAGCCTGTTCCCGGCCAGCGATCCTGGAGCAGGGAGAGTCCCGAAACCACAATCCCAGAACGGAGAGAAGAGCCTGAGAGTCCGAGATGACCCTGAGCAAGGGGCATGATTCGGGTGCAGCCCTTTATGTGGCAGAACTGCGACACTTCACCGCAGCCACCAGCGTGCCGGGCTGGGATCAGAAGGAAAATCACTTCCAACCCCCGTGGGCTGGATCCGATCTGGATCCTGAGCTCTCGTATCGAATACCAGCCCCACATCCCTTTGAAAAACAAATGTGCTTCGTTTGTGGGTTACTCTCCGCTTTTCCCAGTTGCTGGGCAGGGATTTCCCGCCTCTTCCCCACTCCGTATTCCTCTGGAGAGTCGGGATCAGGAGAGTCAAGAGCTGGAAAATTGTGAGCGGGAGTGATTGGAGAACCAGCATCTCTCCTGGAAACCTCTGTCCTTGCTTTTCTGGCTGCATTTTCCATCTGCAGCATTGTTGGCTCTGTTTTTCCTGCTAAAATCCATCGAGGGGCTGCTCAAAAGCTCCCACAGCTGGCAGAACGCAAGACCAGGGCCTTGCCGACCTCGGGAGAGAGGAAGGCAGCCTTCATCTTCCTCTTTTCCCCACGGCCTGGCGCTGTTCTGTCCCAAACTATTCGAGGAGCTGCGGGACTTTCCCCGCCTGTGCCCTGGCCATGCCTCTGCTCTCTCCGCGTCCTTCCTGGCTCGTCACGTTCCCCGATCGGGATTTTCACGGCCTTTCACCGTGCGCAGAAGGTGCTCCCGAGGACGTTCCGAACTTGTTGGGGATTTTAAAGGAGGAGATGAAGTTGATTTTCTCATCTCAGCATTTATTTCAGTCTCACCGGGGTGGGAATCACTTCCCAGATGCCTCCTGTCCCTTGTTAAATCCCATAAATCCATCTCTATGGTTTTCTTCATGCAGGACATTTTCACCCTTCCACCCGCAGTGCCCAGGGTTTTCCTCTGTCTCTCCATGACTCTCCAAATGTTCTGCCGAGCTCTGACAGGAGCCTAGCGTGGATCTTTTCATTTTGGCTGCCAAAAATCCCCGGGATCCGGAAGAGTCTGGGATGATCCAGGTGCCGGCGCTGAGCCAGCCACGGGGATGATGGATAACAGCTGGGATGGAGCGCGCGCGGTCCCTCAGAGCCGATGGAAAGTCGGAGCGTGGTTTGATCAGCTGAGTGTGAGCCGGCGGGTGGCCAAGGTGGCCACTGGCATCCCGACTTGTGCCAGAAACTGTGTGGCCAGTGGGACGTGGGCAGTGACCGTCCCCCGTACGAATCCCAGAGTCAGTTTTGTGCCCCTCGCGCTGGGCTCTGCTCACAGGGAACCAGCGCTGGGATGAGAGGAACTGTCGGGAGAAATTCCCTCGATCAGCTGAGTGTGAGCCGGCGGGTGGCCAAGGTGGCCACTGGCATCCCGACTTGTGCCAGAAACTGTGTGGCCAGTGGGACGTGGGCAGTGACCGTCCCCCGTACGAATCCCAGAGTCAGTTTTGTGCCCCTCGCGCTGGGCTCTGCTCACAGGGAACCAGCGCTGGGATGAGAGGAACTGTCGGGAGAAATTCCCTCCCCGAAAGGGCTGTCGAGCACGGGGCCGGGGGGGAGTCACCGTCCCAGGAGGGGTTGAACAGATGCTGGGGGACACAGTTTGGGGGGGAGCTGGGTTCACGGTTGGACTCGACGATCTTAAAGGTCTTTTCCCACCTCAAGAATTTTCTGATTCTGCAGCCGCCGTGTCTCTCATCCCTTCAGAGCAGCCCCAAAATTGATGAAGTTTTGGGCACAGCGGGATTTTGGTGCTGCAGCGTCCCTTCTGCTGCGCGGTTCGGCGTCACCTGCCTCGAGCTCTGACTTCGTGTGAGGCTGGAGGTGGCACCAACCCTCGCCGTGGCTTTGGGCGGTGGGTGGCGATACCCATTTTCCCTCTTTTTGGCAGCATCTCCGGGTTCAGCTGCATCCTGAGGGAATTTTCTTGGCTCCCCTCTTAATTTTGGGGAGACCTGGGAGGCTCCCAGAGCCAGCCGGGGGCTTTCCCCGACCGAGCGGAGAATCGGGGCTTTGGGGTTGGTTCAGGAGCTGCTTCCAGCCCGGCTGCCGTCTCCAGGCAGCTTCTGTCCTCTTGGTTTCCACTGCATCCGCTTCCTGGGTCGTTTGGATCCACCGAGTCGCTCCGGTTTGTTATCCGGAGCTGGAAACACAGATGTGGATCTCTTGCGTGCTCAGCGTGCTGTTCTCCGCTGCCTTCTCCGAAATCCCGTTGCCTGCGAGTTTATATTGTGCTGGGAACACTTGTGGCTTTTTCCGGAGCCCAGCCGAAGGAGACCTGGTGATCTGACCAGCGGGAAAAATCCCGGAAAAGAGGATTTGGAGAGACACTGCCTCACCGAGGGAGGATTTCACGGCAGTGCTGGTTCCACTGACCACAGGGGGCGTTGGTGTGTCCTGGGACGGGGACAGGTGGCATTTCCCAACCGGGAGAGAGGTCGGAGCATGTTCCCAAGGCCTCCATCAGCTGTCCCCAGGCGTGAAAGGTCACCGAGCCCGTGTCAGGGAGCTGGAGCTTCCCCCGGCGACTGAAAAGCCGAAGGACATCACGTTGGGCTTTTAAACAGAGACCAAACGCCGCCGCGTCCCATTTATTTTTGTTATTTTAGTTTCAGAGTTCTCCCCGGATCGCTTCTTGCCAAGGGGAAGCTGCTGCTGCAGTTTGTGAGTTAAAAGCGTTTTTGAGGAGCCGGTTGTGGTTGAAATCTCCAAAACCCGGGTTGAAAGCTTCCTGACAGCACACCCGCTTCCTTTAAAGGCTTTAGAGGAGAAAAAACTCTGAAATTAGGACAGGACAGATGTTGTTTTTTTTTTCCTGAGCTCCAATGTAAAAATATTGGAAAAATGGAGTAGGATAGCAGGATTCCCGGCTTGTTTTGCTGACGGAGAAGGTGCCGCGGGGAGCGAGGCTGCATTGGCCGGAGGGGATGTCACCGGCGCTGGCACGTCAGCGATGTCGGAGCGGATCTGGCTCAGGGAACCCTCCCCGGGGAGCCTCCCCCCGCCCCAGGGTGGTGAAATCACCGCAGTCGCCAAGCCAGCTTGTTAGGTTAGCCGCACCTCTGATTGCTCTCATGGTTTCCCCGCTGTCACTGTGTCCTTGTGCCCCGAGGAAGGTTCCTGCTGGTTTTTCTCACTCTCTAACATCTCTGCAGTTGTTCTCTTCTCCCTGTCAGCGCTTTTCACCCCCATCCACCGGGCTGGCAATGCCGCAGCACCCACGTCACCTCCACGCTGGAGTCGGCCTGATCCTGCCACGTCCCCTCGCGATGGCTCCCCGGTGCCAGCCGATCTTCCTCAGGAGAATAAATGGGAACGCTGCATCTGCCGGCCAACGCCATGCGTGCCCCACAGGCACAGCTCTTCCTTCTCTTGGGGTTTGTTCGGGGCATGCACTGGTCTTTTGACCTCCAAACAATTTTCTTTTTGCTCTTTCTTGAGCAGAACGTCTTCGCTGCCTAGAATCGCAGCCCTCCCGAGCCTGCAGTCCTGACTGCCAGCTCAGATGTGGTGTCACCAAGGCCGGTGGGCTCAGACACGGTGTCACGGGGGCTGGTGGGCTCATAAACAGTGTCATTGTGGCCGGTGGGCTCACATGTGGTGTCACCAAGGCCAGTGGGCTCAGATGCGGTGTCACCAGGGCCAGTGGTCTCACATGGAGTGTCATCGGGGCCGGTGGGCTCAGACATGGTGTCACCGGTGCCAGTGGACTTGCATGTGGTCTCACTGGGGTTGGTGGGCTCAGATGCCATGTCACCGTGGCCGGTGGGCTCGCACGTGGTGTCACTGGGACCGGTGGGCTCAGACACGGTGTCACAGGGGCCGGTGGGCTCAGGTGCGGTGTCACTGGGGCTGGTGGGCTCGCACACGGTGTCACCGGGGCCGGTGGCCTCATATGTGGTGTCACCATGGCTGGTGGACTCACATGTGGTTTCACCAGGGCCAGTGGGCTCACATGCGGTGTCACCGGTGGGCCCCTGGAGAGACACCGGTGTTATGCGTGGGGGTCTCGCTCTGGGATCCGTGTGCCTTGCATTGTCCCCGGTTGTTGAGAGACAGCAGAGCCCTGTCCCTCATGTCCCTGGGGAGGTGACAGCTTTGTCACCAAGCTCCCCGCCCTCTGGTTGGGGTCTGTCCCGCCTTCCCGGCACAGTGCTCCCGTCCCATACATGTGTGCGTCCCCCTCCCCCACTCCATGGATTTTGGACCCGTCGACTTTTTTCCGTTGGCATCTCTGGTTTTACCATTTTCCTCCAGTCTGGGGAAACCACCTTGGACCGAAGCTGGCAGG